GTGGAAGGCTTCCGGAAAAGACTTCGTTAGTATGCCTTTCTGTTGTAATTAAGATATTGTATTAATTTGAACCAGATATATTCTATTTATTTTCAGCCTTTAAAAAGACTATTCAGCACTTCCAGAGGCTTCTCACCAGCAAGCATTCTTTAGCTGTTGTGTTTAAAAAAAAAAGAAAAAAAGCAGAAAAGTCCTTTTCTGAAGTAGTTGTGTGTGGGTTTTTTCAATTTCTTCTGTAGCTTTGCACAAGTGGCAGGTTATTAATAACATGTTCTTCAAGTTAGCAACACTTTCTGAAAATGATAATCCCAAGTCAGTTTTTATTTTTACCTGCAAAAATAGCAAGGACTGCTATATCTGTTAAATAAGAGCTTCAGAAGAGGGGCATCAGAAACCTTAGTCTTACCAAGAAAACAGATGAGTTGTCAAAAGGAAACGTTTTTCTGTCCTTGTGTATCAACAAATTTTTGGTCATGTTGTCTTCCTGTCTAACCCCACCCACCAAGTTATTACTGAAAAATGTGATCTCAACTGAAAGGGAAGATAAGTTGTTAAGTAATTGTTAAAAATATTTAGCAAAGGGTCTGTAGGTTTTTACTCGGCTGTGGAAGTTTTATTTATTTACAAGAATGTTAAGTCATTAAATGCTTATAATCTGAGAATATGCACACCCACATGGGCTCTTCTCCAAGTTTTTCTGTCAAATGAGACAGAACGTGAACTTCAACACAGAATCGAGAGGAAAAAATGGTTATAATAATTGGCTTTCTATCTTTGCAGAATCTTGCAGCTAAGCTGTAACCTGGTTTTCATTAGAAGGGGTTGGGTATGGTTGTATACTCCAGGAGTTTTGGACAAGTTTCTGTAAGATAACAACCTAGGGGAAAAACGCACTTGGCAAACCCTTTACAATATACGGGGAATTTCTGCGTGATGTTACTTAGTTGTTTTCTCTTTGAGACATTAACCCCATTGTAATTTTTTTTTTTTTCTTCATTAAGCCAAGGACCCTTGTCGTCCATAAGAGCAGCAATCAAGAGATGTAAGTCTACTTTTCCTATTTTTTGAGAACCATAATATTGTAAGATTGCTACATCTTTGTTTTTAGTAACTGGTTAACTTGATATGTGAAAACAAAGTAGCTAGCAGGCTTTTGGGGGGCTGTAATTTCTTTCTCACTCTTTTTCTTTTTTACTTCACTTTGGACCATCTTTTTGCTTTGCTGATGGGCTGTTCCTTCTTGCCAGTTACTAACATTTTCTTATTTATGCACTAATGCATTTGTACACAGATGTGATCCATCTCTAAAGAACATGCCCAATTTTTAGTTCACTCGACAAAACAGAAGATTATTCTATTTTAGTAGAAATCTGCACTAACTGCTCATTGACTATACTGGGAACAGGATTAGACTCATGCACCGGGCTCATTTTGGAAAACAAAAAATTGTTTATAAATCTTGAATGAAAGTCCAAACTCTTCTTCCCTGATTTCATCGTTTAACTCCTGGTTCGCTTTCCCTGCTCATGATATTTCCAAGCAGAGAATTTCTTTAGCTGCATCTTCTGAAGTATTTTATGCTGTTTCTTTCTTCCGCTTTTTATTTCCTTTCTGTCCATGATTTCAATTTCATATTAATGAAACAACCCTGAGGATTCTGCTATGGGGAAAAATAAATTAGTATATGTGCTACTGATTTGTTTCTCCTGGACCTACTAGTCAGGGGCTTATTAGTATGGATTAGGTTGGAGGTCGTCAAAAGGGATCATGAAAGCTTTATTCAGAGCAAGTCTACATGATGCTGTAGTTAAAATGCAGCACTTTATCTGTGCTGGTGCTGCCATAGATAGGAAACCGGAAAACAGAGGGCACCAGATCACAGAGGGCCCTTTGTGGTGGAGTCAGAAGTTGATTCAGACTGCCTAAGCCCCACTACCTCGTCTAACTGAGAAACCATTTAAAAGATCATTAAGCAATTGTTACCTATGTTTTTGAAAGTATAGTAGCAAGTGATACCTTGTTTTGAGGCATAATCAAGTAAAAAACCAATTTTGTCAAGAAGCCCTGGCTCATATGTTATAACATTATACTTAGTAATATTAATATGTAAATAACTATGATGAAATATAAGTATTATGTGAATTATTCAGATGATAAGCTAGAAAAAAACTCCATGCACATATCAAGGCATAGTAAATGACAGCATAGTTCTTTGCATGCCAGTAACCATACCTCTGGATAGACCTAAATTAAAAATGGACCCTGAATAATTCCTAACCCCACTTGCCATTAATCTGGACAAAGTATGGTATTCTCTGGAAAAGTGTATTTCCCCAACAGAGTTAGAAATCTATCTTTATTTCTTAATCACAGCTCTGCGTGCTGTTTATCTCTAATTTTCAAGAAACATGATAGGTATGTGCAGGGTTTCAACTTTCCAACCTGTGGACAATGCTTTATACGACTTTGTATTGGTAAGTCTCTCCCTGTCTTGTGGCCAAAGAGGAAGAGGGTTTATTTTCCTTTCAGCCACCCTGACTACAACTCTAGCTCAGTAGAATTCAGAAAAGTGAGCCCAACGTGCTTGAAGAAAGCAAGGATGTGAACATGAGATATGCTCGGGAGTACATTAAAAAGTAATTTTTTAATCTCAACTCTTCAAAAGTTACCCCTGGATTTTTAATGATGGTCTCAGGCCAGGACACACGACTAAATCCAGCTCCCACTGAAATCAGTGAAACTATTTCCGTTGACGCCAGCACAGCAACATGCACAAGAATGCCAAAGAAAGTAAAAAGAGGCAAGCCAAGTGCTGCAGTAGTGAGACAAAGGGGAACGATGTTTTCGCTTCCTTCTCCACTCTTCCAGAATAGGGTGGCATAAAGGAGCAGGGCTACAGAAACAAGTTTGCTGCCCTAAAACTTTGGAAGAACCTGCAAGCTTGTTCCATTCTCATTCTGTCCTAAGCAAATATGTGGCTGAATGAAGGATGTGTAACAGCTTGTATACACTCTGAGGCTGTGGCTTCCCATTTGGCAGTTTTGCAGCCATTTTTGGCTGTGGGTTTTGTTTGTTTTTCATTTTTGTTTTGTTTTGCTTGGGAGCTTCCTA